TATCTGTATCTGTATCTGTATCTGTATCTGTATCTGTATCTGTATCTGTATCTGTATCTGTATCTGTATCTGTATCTGTATCTGTATCTGTATCTGCATCTGTATCTGCATCTGTATCTGTATCTGTGTATCTGTGTATCTGCGTATCTGTATCTGTATCTGTATCTGCATCTGCATGCTTATCTAAATTTAAATTTGTAGCTGTATCCGTATCTGTCGCTGTCTGTTTATATTCTCTGATGTATCATATACATATCAACGAAGTTGAGCTCATTGTTATTGTAGCATATGTTCAATGGGCATTAGCTTTGAGTTGTCCCTTTGTCAGTGTGTTAATTGAAGGTTGTTGAGCCCGCTACGCATGGCGTTTGATTGCATATAATTTGCAGTTTGCCCGAGTATTCGCATTTGCAATGGTACGATATACGAATATACCTTCTGTGCTATTGCTGATTCATGGGATTCGCGTACGTTGGCCTTATAAATATATTATGCCAGTCAAATGGTCAAGCATTTGTGCTAATGACACCAAAACGTTTCGATCATACACTGAGACTCTAGCCGATTCCAATTGTGCTTCAATTTGTATTTGTCTTAACAATTTTAGGCTCTTTCAATAAAATATCAACTGCTGAAATTCAATGGCCTTGATGACTCGACGACTTTGTATGCCGAATAAGCCAAGATGCAGTCAGTTTCTGAGGAGCATAATAAAAGTCTGTAAAATAAAACTGAAAAACCAGTTAAACATCTTTAACAGTCGCTAAGATTTCAGCTGTGTACATGTGTTCCACCAACTGCCTATGTATTTAGCCTAAACATTTGAATTGACAAGTGTGGGCTGCAAAAAGACACAAAACATAAAAATCAACCAAAGCCGTTATTGAATTAGTTTTTGTTAATTTTTTTTTTTGGTATTTGCTTATATGCGAATCACAGATTCGCGTGTGTCAATCCGTTCTTGAACTGAAAGCAAATATAATACATAGTATATATAATGATATATGCATATGTCGTTACCAATGATTGGCATCGAAACCGGCTTTACTTGGTTCTAGAGCTCGGTTTCTTGGCCGGCAAAATATTTAAAGTTTTCGATATAACGTTTGTATGCAAATATTTAAGCAATTTTAAGTGACAGCTACTTGAGACTAGTTTTAGAGTGATTGCAAATTTTTAAGTGAAAAAATCAGAGTTATTCGGTCAAATTTTTTACGGAAATGAACATTTGGTAAGCAGGAGATATAGAGTGTAAGAGCTACTGATATAGATAGAAAGAAAGAATGAAATGCTGTACATATATATATGTTGTATATTATTCTTTGATTTAAAGACCCTGTTAATAGTTAAAAGCTTCTGTTAATATCAGTTAACATGTTATATATCTAAATTAGGATGACTTGCATTAATCTTGCCATCCATCTAATGTATTTGCAACGTCAGCATGAGCTGGGCTTAATGTTCTTTTTTGAGCGCGTCGAAAGCTTCTGAAAATTAGCTGAAAAATAAATATTTTAGATTTAATATATATAACAAACACCGAGCTCCCATGGTCAAATTTTTGTTATTGCTGTCAAAACAGTTTGCTCTAACCTTGTTATTTTTTATTTTTCGTACGTGATAATTTTATGAAGACTGTTTTTAATTCTTTTATTGGATTAATTCTTGGAAATTTTTAGAAAATTATAAAGTTCACATGATTGGTATATATTATATTATCATTAATTATTTTCTAATAATTGAATACTGGGCATTTCCTTTCTACTACTCAAGTAAAAAGTCTTTGTCTGAAAGTCAAAAAAACGAATTTGAATAATATTGTTAATTACACAAAGTCGACTTGTGAATTTGATGAGATCATGCCAATATTATATAAGAACTCTATAAATTTTGGATACGAAATTGATTAAAAAATCAAATAAACAAAGTAATGAAAGAAATGATATAAAGATAAATATTTAAATAGTAT